CTCAAGAAACCCTCATTGGAATCAGAAAATTAAGTAATTACCAGCCAGTAGCCAATCTCCCCCTTTTTGGGCAAGGACCACCTGTCCCCATATGAACCAACTCAGACCCTGCAATCATCGTCTGAGGCCCTTCTTCATGTCCCTCTCAATGAGAGGTCTGGAGGGTGGCAGCGGCTCCCCACTTGAGGAAGGCTCGCCCCAGAGAGAGCTAACTCACCTGGTGCCTTTGTTACGTATCTTTAGGCACCAGGCAAAACATTCCTCTTCTCCCAGGCCTTTGGCTGATCAACAACCTACATCCTTTAAAATCTAATTGTTTAAATTAAACAATTTGAACTTTGTGCAGGTTGTTATTTTTGTTTATTACTTGCCGATCGCATGGTCGGCTGTTCGAATCCCCGCGACGGGATGAGCTCCCGTCGTTCGGTCCCAGCTCCTGCCCACCTAGCAGTTCGAAAGCACTCTTAAGTGCAAGTAGATAAATAGGGACCGCTTTATAGCAGGAAGGTAAACGGCATTTCCGTGTGCTGCGCTGGTGCTGACTCACCAGCTGCAGCTTCGTCACGCTGGCCACGTGACCCGGAAGTGTCTTCGGACGGCGCCGGCTCACAGCCTCTAGAGCGAGATGAGCACGCAACCCTAGAGTCGGACACAACTAGCCCGTACGGGCAGGGGTACCTTTACCTTTATGGTATATATTTTGTGTTTTATACTGCAAACCACCCTGTAATCCTCAGGTGAAGGGCGGTATAGAAATTTAATGAATAAAATAATAAATAAAAGGGTGGGTCTGGAAAGACTAAAAACTACTGGTTCTGTTTAAGACTTTATTTTCTTAAACATGGTTTTGCTTTTAACAGCCAGGCATAATCCACTATGAGGGTGGCTTTATTGGTATGTTTTTATCTTTTTAAAGCAGATTTTAAACTGGACATTTGTTATGCATTATTTATATTTTTTATATTCTTGTTTCCCACCCGTGGCCTTCAGGGACAGTCTGGCTGAATATTTGGATGAATAAATCATTCAAAACAGATGAGAAAGGGTTTAATGGCATGTACTGGGGAAAAGATGGGACGCGGGTGGCGCTGTGGTCTAAATCACTGAGCCTAGGGCTTGCTGATCAGAAGGTCAGTGGTTTGAATCCCCGTGACAGGGTGATCTCCCATTGCTCGGTCCCTGCTCCTGCCAACCTAACAGTTCAAAAGCAGGTCAAAGTGCAAGTAGATAAATAGGTACCGCTCCGGCGGGAAGGTAAACGGTGTTTCCGTACGCTGCTCTGGTTCGCCAGAAGCGGCTTAGTCATGCTGGCCACATGACCCGGAAGCTGTACACCGGCTCCCTCGGCCAATAAAGCGAGATGAGCGCCGCAACCCCAGAGTCATCCACGTCTGGACCTAACGGTCAGGGGTCCCTTTACCTTTACTGAGGAAAAGGAGGATCCTCCACATTTGTAGTAGAGTTTTGCCCAGCTCAGTGACTAGAGGTTTGAAGGTTAGGAAACCACTGCACAGTCACCCCAAGCCATGCATTTCAGCCAATGTGATGTAATCACAGTACAATCACTGTTTAAACCTGTAACAACAAACCCCTTTCCAGACGTTGTACCACTGAAAAGAGAGGGAAGCCTGTCAGAGAAGGGTATCCCATAATTTCCCTAATTTCCTAAAGTGCCTAACTTTCAGGGCTGGATGCTGAACAAAAGGTACACGCTGAGCCAGGAAACAGATAGGTGCGCATGCAGAAAAATGGGCAAGCATAGATGGACTCCAAAGATGGAAAGCAAATCAATCTGGCACAGCATTGGCACTGTCCTGGGCATACTCCAGTAGCTGCTGGGAGCTCACTGGGACTGATGCCAACCCTCATTGCTTCAACATCCTCAGTAAGCAATACACACCCCACTGCCACCAAATTGCTGGTGCTCTTCCTACTGGAACCAAGCAACAACTTGGCTCCAACTGACCCTGCACAGCCACCATCTTTAATTTATCCAAAATGCAGTGCAATAAAGCACTTGATATAGCCCTGTTTCCACTTATCCTCTGCAGCATTTCATTGTGGAACATTAATAATGGTGGCTGGCACAGCTGAGTAAGTGGGGCTGGAAGCATCAGCACAGAAACAGAAAGCTGGGGGTCACCTTTTGGGTGCTGCTGAAAATAGGCGCTCCTTTACTGGCATGCAAAGATGGTGCAGAGAGTAAAGTGTCGGGATCTGTAAGGTGCTTCGGGGCTCAAACTAGGGATTAAGGCAGTGGGGATCCAGGCACCTTACTTCCTGCAAAACCAAGGTAGCTCAAGAGCTGAAGGAGTTACAAACCTGATGTTTCCCATGCTACAGCAATGCCCTTATCACAGCCAAGCACGCTACTGAAGGTCATCAACTCAGCAGGGCCCGGTGGCCTGAGAAACCGGTGAGAGTCTGGCTGGCTGTATATAAGTGGAGTGCCACGCATGGCTCCTCAGTCTAAGCAACTTGTCTCATGGAATAGCTACAGAGACTGTGGCCAGCATCCTTGATCTGAACCATCACTTCTTCTGCCTCTGGCCCATTTGCTCCTCACTTCCCTGCTTCAGGCCCTAAATCCCCATCTTCTGCTTGACCACATTGTCTTTCTTGCACCCTTCAAGGCTGCCGAACTGGACTCCTCTCAGTGGACGACCTCAGAGCTTGGCCACAGCCTGACAAGAGTGCCCTCCAAGTGACTTACACCACCGCAAAAAAAGCTCTGCTCTGTGCAACCACTATTTTAGACTCTGAGGGAGCCACAGGAGCCAACCTGTACCCTGAGTGTGTGTAGATACGTGGGTAAAGGCACTCCTTGAGGAAAAGGATTCCTAGCCATAGTGAATCAAACCCTGATTTTGCTCCAGTTATTTATTCCGCTCCTAGTTGAACGAGCTAGGATCAGGCTTTTTTTTTTAAAGGAGGGGTACTACACCTCCAACAACATTACCGTACCCCATAATTATAATAGCTGCTGTATGTTTTGACAGCCTGTTGGTTCAACGGTTTATTTCACGATAAAAGTGTCATTAGGCAAGAACTTTCCTCTTGCCAGACTTGCATTTCCTTGCTTAATGCTAATTACAGGGTGCTTCCTTCTTTTGTCTCCTGCAGCAATACGTAATCCCTCCTTCCTCCACTTAAGCCTCCCTCTTGCCAAGAGATGCCCTATCCCAAGTGCTGCTGAGCCTGTTCTGCCTCGCTTGCCTCTTGACAGCAACCCACATTCTCAACGTGGGGCTCCGCAAAGCAGCCTATACTTGCACCCCGTGCAGTACGTCTGATGCGCATCCATGTGATACTGTGCAACTGCCCCGCAATAGACCTTGTGCACTCTGAACTGGAAGCAAAATTATGTATCAAGCAGGGTGAAATCCTGCTGACAGTGACTCATTTTGTACTGATTAATCTGTGTTACAAATGTGCTTGTACTGACAGATTAAGCTCTATACAATTTAACACCTAGAAACAACTTGGTGGAGCAGCTGTCCCAGATGTACCTGCCTGAATGTTAAGATGGAGTGGAGGTGCCTTCATGTTGCTGCCACATTTGCTGAGAATCTGCGGTGGAGTGATATAAGAGAAGACATTGCCAATATAAGTGCCCAACTGTGGAACTCCCTGAACTCTCAGTTACAACTGGCGCCAACACTTTAGGAGCTTTTGGTGCTAACGGAAGACTTATTTCTTTGCACCCTGGTCTTCGCTTGAAACGTGTTCTGTTGGCCCTGTTTCTTGGATTTTGCTGGCTATGTATTGATTGTTTATTGATTTTGGTGCTGCATTATTATTAATGCATATCAGACCTTTCCAGCATTTTGTTATATGCTGTGGCTTTTACTGACTGTATGCTGCTGAGAGATTACAGCATTAATGATGAATGGGTAAGAAATTCCGCAAATAAATTAATGCACCAAGTTTTGCAGGGATTTGGTGGATGGCTTTAAAAGAGAATGAGACAAATTCATGGAGGAGAAGACTATCAATCGCTACTAGGCACAATGGCAATGTTCTGCCTCTACTGTCAGAGGAAGTACGGCTCTGTATAGGAGTTTCTGGGAACTGCAAGTGAGACGGCAACAGACTCCGGTCCTGCTTGTAAGCTTCCCAGAGGCGCCTGGGTGGCCACGGTGAAAACAGGAAGCTGCACTCATTAGGTCTTTGGCCTTATCCAGCACTCTTCTTCATATGCAATCTGGATATTTAATGTGGGCAAACCACAGACCACCTGAACGAAGCTTGTGAACCACAGTTTGGGAACCTCAAATCTAGGTAAACCAGCCAGAATTCTGGTAGCTTAACTGTGTACTAGTTGAAATGTTCTGAATCATTTTCAAGGGTAGCCTCACAAATAATGAATGCATTACAACAATCCAATTTGGAGGTCAGATTATTGTGTACACAGCATCATCAACATGTTTTATTGTATTTTTAATATTTTGTTGGAAGCTGCCCAGAGTGGCTGGGGAAACCCAGCCAGATGGACATGGTATAAATAAATTGTTGTTGTTGTTGTTAAATTTTTGCATGTCTCCAGCATTTCCAATGCCTTTTCACTCACTGACTAGAACAGGTAACCAGAACTGGAAGGTGAGAGCAGTCTTCCCTTAACTAAGCAAGTCAACAGGCTACTTGCCTGCACACTTTCCATATATTCACCACAAAACAAAAGACAAGAATCTCAGCAAAGAAGAAAAAGAAGAGAGGGGTTGTATAAAATCCTTGAGGAGGCTCAGACCTGCCTCTTGCAACCCAAGTGAATACACCTGGCGCTGCTCACCTCTGGCTGCAGTGTCAGCCCAGCAGGACACAGCAGGGCTACTGCACAGAAGCTGCTCAGACTCAAGGGGCATGTTTCAAATTGCTCACAAAAAGCATCTTCAATTCCACAACATATTGCACCAACTATGCAAACACTGAATAGATCTAATGCCAAGCAAACTTATTCAGGAGAGAAGGGACATTTAAACAGAAAACAAAACAAGTATCACCTTTTTTAGCCGTTTCCATCTCCTCCTCTGTCCAACGAGAACTTTCATTCATCTCCAGAGAGGCTGAAAAACAAACCAGAACTGGCTGTAGCAAATGGTGGGGGAATAGAACATAACTCAATTTCTCTTCCTGCCCCACAGCTCAGGGGCAGAACACCCATTTTGCATCTAGGAGGTCTCAGGTCTCAGGTAGCAAGCAGCAGAGCTGGGAAAAACCACTGCTGGAGACAATCTAGAGCTGTTGCCAGTCAGAGTAGACAATACTAAGCAAGACAGCTCAATGACCTGACTCAGTTCACCTACTTCTCACTTCCAGTTCTTGAATTCTTGAATTGTGGAATTTTTGAACCAATGGCTTTCCCAGCATTGCAGCTGTGGCGAGGGGGTTACAAGGGAAAGGTGGCAGGCGAGGGGCAGGTTAGGCTCCCCGCACTACCTTGGGTCAGCTGCTGAGTGTGTGCTTCCAGCCTAAGCTGGAGGGATGCCAAGGCATCGAAGTTGGTAAAATACTGGGAAATAGACATGGTATTTACAGATATAGTACTAGAATGGAACATGGAAGTGTGACAAATCACACTTCCCACCCAAACTCGGTTTTCTCAAAACCAGGCCCAAAGCAATGAAAATCAGGATGTTCAGACGTAGCCAAGCTTTGTGGAAGGAATGGGGGGGGGGGGCTGGTTATAGTCAGTGCCATTCCTTTATTTTTAGATTCTGAGGCCAAAAGAGAACACAGCATTTCCACTGACAAACGAGCCTGGCCGCTCTTTTTGACATCTTTCAATACCAACGGCAGTAACTGGAAGGGATGCAGGAGCTGGCATTCTCAGGAGCCACACCTGGATTAACGAAGGTCCTACCTTGGAAAGTCCATGTGACCCTTTCACTCCTACTTTAAGTTTTGATTTTGGCGGGCATTTGTCCTCCTGGAATCAATGAATTTGAGTGGCTGATCTCTTGTTCTTGTTTTCACCTCTGGAGCCCATCTTCAGTTTTATTAGATTTTCTCCCCAATTATATTTTATTAAGTTTCAACATTTTTACCATATGCAGTCATAACACAATTTCATCTTTTCTCTTATTTTTGTCGACTTCCCACTCCTCTTCCATGGAGTTTTTTCTCCCCTTCTGATGCACCCTATCTTCTATCTATCAAATCATAACCACAATATTATAATTAATGACTTCTGTTGCTCATAGCTCAAATCCCGAGATTTCATCATACTATAATTTTTTTTATAATTTATTATAATAACTTTATTTTTATTATAATTGTCTTTCTTACAAATGGTTTTGCTATTTGTTTTTAAGCTGTTCTGGGACAGCATTTACATTACAGAGGGCATTGGCTCCACCCACTAATGATCTCCGTCTTCTATCCTACAAGTCTCAAGGAGCACCAGCCACTGCTGGGTGCAGTTGCTATCCTTGCAATGGCCCAACATTCTGTGGGTTTGCCCTCTGTGGAACCGCAGTCAAAGCAGAGGTATTGGCTGGGGGCTGAACCGGAAGGTGCAGGAGGACTCCTAATTTTCAGACTTTAAATTTTTATTTCATGATTTCTACTTCCTATCTCAGCTTTCCATACTGAAACAGAGTGGACAAGGGCAGCTTTGAGATTTTGTGTGTGAGAGCTGTTTGCTTCAAATCTTCCCGCGATCCGGCCCACAGAGGAATCTCCCCAGGACCAATCCGGCCCAGGCAAGATAACATGCTGAGCTCTGCTCTAAACTAAGAGAAAATGTTATTTTGATCACAGTGAAAGATGTTTGGACAGCCTCCTTTATGGAAAGAAAAAATAGCCTTAGAGGCTCATTTAAAAGCCTCTGCAGAAAGAAAAGTTGCAACAGTCCTAGAAAGACTTAAACAAAAATATAGAAAGCTAGCAAGAGACAGGCAAGAGGAAAGCTACAATTCTCAAGGCCCATGTCTTGTTCAGAGTCAAGGGCTTGGGAGGCAGAGGAGGGGCTGGCCTTCACAGCTGGAGGGATGGGGTTGCAGCTGGCTCCCCTTGCATGTCAACAAGGTAGTTTAACCCTTTGCAAAACTGATTCCCCATAATGAGACAAGCTCATATGCGATAAGCACGTTGGGAAGAGGGTGAAAGGATGAAAGTTATCCAAGGAACCGGCATTGCCAGGAGATGCTCTTCTACTCAGAAATCTAGCTCAGAAATCATTACAAAACCCCTGCAAAGCAGGCTCATTGGGGCAGTATGATTAGATTACAGCCATGGAATGCTTGCCTAAAGTTGTCTGTCGCTGAGACAAAGTTGAATTCAGGGTCTTTCCAGCTCATATCTTGCTCTTTTCTTTTTCTACCCGTGCTTTCAGAAACTTTTACGAGGTCATAAAAATGTAAGAACCTAACTGATCAGTGGCACCTCAGAAGCTCCTTGTGCTCCAGTCCAGCCACTTTCTTACCTGCCCAAACCTGACATCAGCTTCAGGTAACTGGCAGGCCATTGCTTAGTTAAAACAGACTGTGGAGGGGAGGCCAACGAGACCAATGGACTTGAGGTCCCCCACACCCTGATTTAATACTTGAGAGCATCCCCATGTAGGTCACATTACAAACAGTTACACATCACTTGGGAAGACAGGCGAACAAATATCAGTGTACTGAAAAAGCAAAGATCACCAGTGTTGAAGCAATGATTCTTCAACATCAACTTTGTTGGACTGGTCATGTGGTTCGGATGCCTGATTATTGTCTTCCAAAGCAGCTACTGTATTCGCAGCTTAAGAATGGAAAGCGAAATACTAGTGGACAGTAAAAGAGGTTTAAAGATGCTCTCAAGGCAAATCTTTAAAAATGCAGTATAAGCACAGATGATTAAGAAACACCGGCCTGTGAGTGCTCCAATTGGAGAATAGCTGCTACCAAAGGTGTCATGGGCTTTGAAGAAGCATGAACTCAGGAAGAAAGGGAGAAACGTGCTAAGAGGAAAGCACGTTTGGCAAACCCTCACCATGATCAACTCCTGCCTGGAAACCAATGTCCCCACTGTGGAAGGATGTGTGGATCTAGAATTGGCCTCCACAGTCACTTACGGACACACCATCGACCATGTTCATGGAAGACCATCTCACTTGGCTACGAGTGATCGCCAAAGGGTAGGTCACATTACAAACAGACATGCCTAGAGGCTATGGAACTGTGAAATGGTTTTTAAATAGCACTCAGCCTTTTCCCCACTATCCCTGCTTATTTCTTTCATTTATTTTTATTTTTCTTTGGAGGAGTATTTGAAAATGGTACCCCAGCTCTGCAATACGAAGAAACTATCCACTCTACCCCCTCAGAAGATGGCTGCCTCCTCCTGCTAGAGGTGTCTCTCGAACCTTGCAGAATAGCTCTAAGGTTGATGTTGCTAAGGAGAGGGAGCTCCACAGGTCATGTTTTCCTTTAGCTGCAATTTCTGCTGGCATCACCTGTCCTTCGGGACAACTGACCTTGACGCAGGTGCAGGAGGAAAGCCTTGCCTGTGACCGTTCTCAGTGGCATGTTCCACTAGGGAGGACTAAACCCTCCCAGCGGCTGTCTGTTAAAGGATGGGCGTGAGTGTGAGAATGAGAGAAAATGGTCTCTCCTCCTTTTGCGCCAACTGCACTAGCGGCCTATTCATTTCCAAGGGCAATTCAAAGAAAGCGTTTAGACCTTTAAAGCCCTTTCCAACTGCCTTTGATCAGTATCAACTGGTCAGTTCAACACAAATGACCAAAACATCAAAATGAGCATCTTCACTGTACAGTGGTACCTCGGGTTACATATGCTTCAGGTTACAGACTCCGCTAACCCAGAAATAGTACCTCGGGTTAAGAACTTTGCTTCAGGATGAGAACTGAAATTGTGCTCCAGCAGTGCAACAGCAGCGGGAGGCCCCATTAGCTAAAGTGATGCTTCAGGTTAAGAACAGTTGTTTCAGGTTAAGAATGGACGTCCGGAACGAATTAAGTACAGTGGTGCCTCGCAAGACGAAAATAATCCGTTCCGCGATTCTCTTCGTCTAGCGGTTTTTTCGTCTTGCGAAGCAACCCCATTAGCGGCTAAGCGGCTTAGCGCTATTAGCGGTTTAGCGGCTATTAAAGGCTTAGCGGCTGAGCTGCTAAAAGGCTATTAGCGGCTTAGAAAAAGGGGAGAAAAAGCGGGAGGGGGGGGAAATGGCAAGACTCGCAAGACATTTTCGTCTTGCGAAGCAAGCCCATAGGGAAATTCGTCTTGCGAAGCACCTCCAAAACGGAAAACCCTTTCGTCTAGCGGGTTTTCCGTCTTGCGAGGCATTCGTCTTGTGGGGCACCACTGTACTTAACCCAAGGTACCACTGTACTATGTCTACTTTCTCTACAGCATCCATACATTTTATACACTTCTCAAACTGCCTTTCCAATTGCTTAATCAACTAGTGTTTGGGTTGATTAATCTACCAGTTAAACTCAATTAAAGCTACAACCTTGGTTGGTGTATATTCCAGCCCAGGAATACACACAGGCCCTTTTCCCTGGATGAGATTTCTCAGTATTCCAAGGCCCTCAAGTGGTTGAGAGGGGAAACTCTTCTAAAGTTTGCATACCAAGATGCAAGTGAGCAGAAGAAGAAAACTGCATTATAAGATGATCCTAACCCCAAAGATATGGGACACGGGTGGTGCTGTGGGTAAAAGCCTCAGCGCCTAGGGCTTGCCGATCGAAAGGTCGGCAGTTCGAATCCCTGCGGCGGGGTGCGCTCCTGTTGTTCGGTCCCAGCGCCTGCCAACCTAGCAGTTCGAAAGCACTCCCGGGTGCAAGTAGATAAATAGGGACCGCTTACTAGCGGGAAGGTAAACGGCGTTTCCGTGTGCGGCTCTGGCTCGCCAGAGCAGCGATGTCACGCTGGCCACGTGACCCGGAAGTGTCTCCGGACAGCGCTGGCCCCCGGCCTCTTGAGTGAGATGGGCGCACAACCCCAGAGTCTGTCAAGACTGGCCCGTACGGGCAGGGGTACCTTTACCTTTAACCCCAAAGAATCTCATTTCTTGTTCAACCCCAAGTTGTGAGAAGAAATTAACCCCCGCTCCCTAAAACACCCATGCAATTACTAAAGACAAAATAAAGGTGGACAAGCAGTTGCAGATGTTCATTCTCAGCACAACTCTGGAGATAATTCCAAACTAGAAGAGAAAAAACAGAAGTGGGCATGGCAGTAACACCACCTAAGAACAGCCAGCCACAAATGCCTGTGGGCCCTTGCAAGCAGAACATGAAGTGAGGGGATATAGCTCAGTGGTAGAGCATGTGTTTGGCATCCAGAAGGTCACAGGTTCAATTTATTTAAGCCAGCACCTCTTAGCTGACTGATGGTGACGGCAAGCCTCCCTTGCAACAAACAGTTGGGAGTGCTTCAATATGCAAGGCTCCCGATTGTGCCCTGGTATCTCCACTGGCTTCTCCACGTTCGTCTTCAACCAGGTCTTTGGATGATTAATATTCTACGCCTTTTAAATGTGTTTGTGGGAAGGGGGGGTTATTGTTTTGCTGTTTTATTCTATTTATTTTCATGTTTTCATCCTGTATTTTATTCTGTGAACTGCCCCAATATCTTATGATAAAAAGCACTATATAAATCAAAAAGAGCAGACAGACAGACAGACAGACAGACAGAGCTGGCAAAGTTTCAGTCCCTGCTGGCATCCTTCCTTATACTGGTGTGCATGTGTTGTGTATGCTTCTGGAGGAAGGGTGGTATATATAAATTGAATGAGTGGACAAACAAACAAACAAAAACAAGCAAGCCATTAATACGCTAAATAATATAATCAATAGTAACTAACTATATGAGTCTCCCCCCCCACCCTTTGCTACTGGTCTCCTGCCTATCAGTTGCATGCTTCACTTTGCCTACCCAGATGCCACCTCCTCCCTCCATGCCACAGAGGTAGCTGCTCCATACCCAGTTCTGCATTCTGCTGGGGAGCAACCACTTCCTCACTGTTGGCTTCGCTGGCCATGGAGCGGGTGATGCGGCCCTTGCGCCGGCCCTGGCTGTTGGCGGTTTTGCGCCCTTTAGAAGCAACGGCTTCTTTCTCGTCATTGTCCTCGCCAGATGTATCCTCGTTCTTCTCCCTGTGTGAGCCAGAGTGGGGGGAGCAGAAGAAAACTATCACCATCAACCTGTGGTACTGATTTCCCTTGCCTCTCCCTCTTGCAAGAGAGGCACTTTCCCCACTTTCTTCTCTCTGCCTTGCAGAGGGCTGCAGTTTCTCAGCCACAGCTGTTGAGGGACCTAACAGAGACAGGTTGAAGACCAGGGCAGCCAAATCATCTTGGCTCTGTCTCCTCGTTTATCTTCCCAAAAGGGATCAGCTGAGAAACGCATCACGAAGCCCGGATGCCACAAAGCCAGATGCTCCTTCAAGCCAAGGATTAAGCCCCATTAAAGAAAGTAAGCAAACGTATGCCAAATCATCCACAGAAGTCAAGTGGTGCTCATTTCACTTCCCTGTTATCCGGAGGACATGCCAAGTCTCTATGGCAATGCTCTGCTGCACAACAGTCCCTGCACCAGCATGTTCCTGCAATGTAGTGGGACAGACACCCAAGTAGCACTGTTGCAGCAACACTCCAAGATGCAACAGTACACAAGGGCAAAAGGAAGTGGCGTAGATGCACCCTGTAAAGTTTTGTGCAAATGACACTGGGGAAGACACAAAAACAATCCTGCTGGATCACCACAAAAGGTCCCTCTGGACCCGAGGTAGGGGACCTTTGGCCCTCCGGATGTTGCAGAGCAGCCAATAGTCAAGGCTGATGTGAGTTGTAGTCTAAATAATCTGGAGGGCCAGACCACTATCTTGTTTCATACTGCAGCCAACGCACGCCTCTGGGAAGCCCACAACAGCTCAAGTGTGCTGCAGTAGAAAATACGTCTCAAGCACTTTTTGTTAACAGCATAAAAAAGCTTCCCCTGAGAGTTTCCTTGAAACTCACTGGCAGCCATTCAACACTGTGCAGCTGTGTGTCTGCACACACCTTTTACATTTATATATTGCTTTCTATTTCAAATGTAACTAAGCGGTGTACTGTCTAAAAAATATGGAGCACTTCACTAATTTGCATGAATTCCTATTTCTATTTGGTTCTCCACTGTTACAACTGTGTTAGAAATTGTCTTTATCATGTCAATGTTATAGTAGTTCATCTATTCCCCCACCATCCCAATCTGCTCCTTATCACTGTGTGTGTTGTGTTGGGATATGCTTCCTTTGTTTAGTGTCTCTGCAGTGAGTGCCTAGCAATTTCAATCAGATAAAGATATTGGATAGCGATTCCAGGACTCGGAGAGTTGCTGCCAGTCAGAGTGCATTTGGATGTGGGGTTTGCTGTAGTAGTCTTCCTGGTTACAATGCTAGTGCTTCTGTCCCTGTTTCCAACATTCATTTTACACTGCATTACCCGTTTTGTTATGGATCTGTGGCTTTCCGATCCGTATGCTGCCACGACACGCCAAGTATCATTTACACAACTGGGTGTGGTGCAGCACAATAGCATCTGTCAATGGACATGCCACCACTATTTATGAGTATGCTTCCTTCTGTTCCCTCATGATCCCCCCATAGAAACAACAGAAAAGAACTGGATGCCAGAATACCGCCCCAAATTTCAACATAGGCATGACCCACGAAAACCACAGGAAAATCACAGTGTGAAACTCCAGCAATTTTCTGGGCTAACAGGGTTAAGCAATTAAAACAGAAATGAGCACTAAACCTCCATCAGATTCGGCTAGATTTCCAGAAGCGGCTTTTATGATGTGTGAAAGATCACATAAAAGGTGGGAATTACCAGGTGAGGAAACATCAGGAAAATGGAATAAAGTAGTCTCAGAGTAGCCAATACCGGGACCTGGAGAACTGCTGCCATATTGGTACACTCCAGACAAACCAATTCTCTGACAGATTACAAGAAAGCTTCATATGTAGGTCAGGGAATATGTGAAACAAGTTTAGTATTTTGTTTCGGAAAACTGTGCTTCACCTTTCCCCTAATGCTTTCATTTTCCATTTTCACTATATTGTGTGCCATCTGGGACTAGGCCTTGAGCCAATGTCTGGGGAAGGGAGCGCTTCTGCCTTGCACCTTGGAGGCAGGAAGAGGGAGCTGGTAAGCAGGTGCTGTCGTGCTGGCTCTTGGGTTGCTGGAAGGGAAGAGAAGTGGTCAGACTTACTTTGTCAGTTCCTCTTTGTCGTTTTCTGCTTCTGGCTTCTCTTCCTCCTTCTCTGTGTCTTTCTCCTTTTCTTTTTCATCTTTCTCGTCTTGGCTGCTACGGGGCATCTGTTGCTGCTGTTGCTGCTGCTGCTGTTGCTGCTGCTGCTGCTGCTGAGAAATGGAGAAAGGGGAAGCCAAAACCAATGAGCACCTGGGTGACACTCAAGGGATGCCAGACACACACCAAGGCAGGGAGAGCTAAAAGGAAAGGAGAAAAAGGAAACTCCCCCCCCCCATCCTTCATATTGTTACAGATTTTTTTTATGACTGAATGCAATTATAAGGCAATCGTTTTATTTTATGTTTTTAAGTTATTTATATGCCTTCCGCCAATAAAAAAACATATATTTTCAGGGTGGCTTATAAATAAAACAATAAAGCCAGAGTAGAATCTTTTATTTATTTAGATTTCTTGCCCACTCCAAACCATAGCGTCCCACGGTGGGTTACAACAGTAAAATAAACAATTATAAAACAAATAAAGCAGCTACAACAATAACCCAGGAAAAGGGTGAAAACAATTAAAAACATTTCCATACAGAGAGCTGTTCCATCTATAAAGATGACACAAACATTGGGCGGCCTCCAACAAACACGTCCCATCAGTGCAAGGATTTTCATTTGCCCAATGGGGCTTTCCTGCTTCTCCTCCCCCTCGTGCACCCTGTGCCCTCCCCAACTCAGGTTGCCGCCCTGAGTATTTCCATCGGCTGTCCCCTCCACCTTAATATCTCTTCTTAGACTCACTGAATTGTAGAATTGGAAGGGACCCAAAGGGTCATCTAGTACAACCCCCTGCAATGCAGGAAACGCAATTAAAGCACCCACCCACCCACTTCTTTGTGGCAATTGTTCCGATAAACCTATGTCCTAAACAAGGTAGAAATCCAGGTCTAATGTGCCAACACATATATCTTTTACTCTGGGAAACATAAGTGAAGTGCCGAGCCATTCCAAACAATATGCTTGCACACACACACTATTGTTAAACCATCTGTGTGGCAAGGAAGCAACAGTGGAAAGTATTTTATGCAAGGGCTGGGGAGGAATATGTGGCACTGCCAGCTTTCCATGTAAGAGCCAACTTTCTACAAAAGGAGCTGGATTCTTTCACTCACAATGGGGAGAACATATATGGCCATGTCGCATTCCACAATTAATACTCTTCCCATAAGCATTCCGCAACAACAATTTACAGTGGTGCCCCGCAAGTCGAAAAACCCGCTAGACGAAAGGGTTTTCCGTTTTTGAGTTGCTTCGCAAGACGAATTTCCCTATGGGCTTGCGAGTCTTGCGATTTTTTTCCCTCCCCCCCCTTTTTGTAAGCCGCTAATCGTCTTTTAGCCGCTAAGCCGCTAAGCCTTTAATAGCCGCTAAGCCGCTAAACCGCTAATAGCGCTAATCGGGTTGCTTCCCAAACGAAAAACCGCTAGACGAAGAGACTTGCGGAACGGATTACCGTATTTTTCGCACTATAGGACGCACCGGTCCATAGGACGCACCTAGATTTGGGGGGGGGGAGAAGAAATAAAGGGGGGAAAAATTATTTTCCCCCCCCGCCAGGCGCGGGGCTGGGGAAGCCTGAGCTTCCCCCTCCCCCAGAACGGGACCCAGAGCCATGCCGAAGCTGCGCGCAGCTTTGGCATCGCTCTGGGAGCTTGCGGGGCTGGGGGAGGAGGAAGCCCTCCGCCAGCCTCCAAACCATGTCGGGAGACAGCGGGATGGCGGCTGCACCTCTCCCGCTGTCCCCCGAGTTTGCGGGGCTGGCGACGGGGAGGAGCAGGCTTATCCCCCCCACCCCGCCAGCCTTCTAACCAAGTCGGGGGACAGCGGGAAGGGCGCGCTGTGCCTCTCCCGCTGTCTCCCGGGTTTGCGGGGCTGGCGACGGGGAGGAGCAGGCTTCTCCCCCCCCCCCCGCCAGCCTTCTAGCCAAGTCGGGGGACAGCGGGATGGCACGCTGCGCCTCTCCCGCTGTCTCCCGAGTTTGCGGGGCTGGCGACGGGGAGGAGCGGGCTTCTCCCCCCCGCCAGCCTTCTAGCCAAGTCGGGGGACAGCGGGAAGGGTGCGCTGCGCCTCTCCCGCTGTCTCCCGAGTTTGCGGGGCTGGCGATGGGGAGGAGCAGGCTTCTCCCCCCGCCAGCCTTCTAGCCAAGTCGGGGGACAGCGGGATGGCGGCGTTCCGCCTCCCCGCTGTCCCCCGAGCTTGTGGGGCTGGCGGTGGGGCTCTCCTGAAGCCTGGAGAGCGAGAGGGGTTGGTGCGCACCGACCCCTCTCGCTCTCCAGGCTTCAGCGAAAGCCTGCATTCGCACCATAGGACGCACACACATTTCCCCTTCATTTTTGGAGGGGGAAAAGTGTGTCCTATAGTGCGAAAAATACGGTATTTTCGTCTTGCGAGGCACCACTGTATACAACATGCAAGTTACTACTGGAAGTGTTTCATCTACATGGTCTATTCTTTTTCAAGATTTGCCATTTAGATGTGCTGCAGCAATGTTAAGAGGAAGGCAAGAATGGAGAGGGAGGAGGGTGTGGAGATTTCCCCATACTTTCCCCTTGCTAACACAAGGGGCAGAAACTTGTTTATAAGAAAGAAATGAACCAACCAAACTGATGGTCTAGAAGGCAACGCTAGATATAAACTGGGACACAGAAACTTGGGAAGCCGCTTTATACTGAGTCAAGACTATTGGTCCACCTATCTCAGTACTGGAAGAAGTGCTGCCAGTGTAGACCAAGATTTCAGACGGGGTTTCCCTAAGCCCTACTTGGAGATGCCAAAGATTGAACCTGGGACCTTCTGCATGCAGAAGAGATACCCAACTGTGAGCCACAGCCCTTCCCCCAAGATGAAAGATGTCACAAATAAGAAGGTTAGGGAGAAAGGAGTAGAGTGCACAAGGTGCTGAGAAAGGAAGGAGGAGATCTCTCTCTCCTGCTGCCAAAAGCAACATGAGTCTAATCTTCTCATCCTTGATGCACTTTCTAGGTGCTGATGGATTTAATGGGAGTGGCCACCCAAGAGGAGAGTGTCTGCAAAAGCTGGAACTTGCTCGCACCCTGCACAAATCTACTTTGACCACCGGAAGAGAAAAGCACAGCTGGCAAAACACACCCATATCTAGGTTCCATTGCCTGTGCTGGTTGGGTCTGCAGTTGTGCCTAGCCCTGACCAGGTGCCAAATGCTAAGTTCTTTGAGGACACACCAGACACTCCACAGGTCGTGGACCTTGGGGAGAAGCCATGGTCTCCTGGAACCAACATTTGGTATATTCTTGAGGGGCCCACTGGTAGGAGGCCTGTTGAAGAAGCCCTGGAGTTGTTAGGAGGCCATGGAACCAATCCTCTGTGCTTGAGAACCCTGGCACCAAAAGGTCCAGGTCCAGGTTGAAAAGAGATGACATAGCCTGCATCCATGGACACAGAGTTGTCACGTGGCTTCTAATTAATAGGATCTACTTGTGAGTACACAATCCCTGGTACTTATTTACTACCAGCAGATGCAGTTAGTGTGTGGTCTAAGAGGCCACACTATACGAGGTCTCCCTCTTGAGCTCTGCAGCTGTTGGAAACAATACAGGTCTCTGGTGTCTGGTTCCAGAGTCCCCTGCATTGCTGTTTTTCCCCTTGCCTGAGCAGTCTGTGCTATTGACCTTAGACTAGCCCTTTTCAACTATGAGTCCTCAGGTGCTGTTGGATGCCAGTTGGATGCCAGTGGCCAGGGATGATGGGAATTGAAGTTCAAAAACATCTGGGAACCCAAGGTTAAGAAAAGTTGCCTTAGACTGTAGCCTGACCTAGCCTCTGGATCATGTTTTGGATTTAGACTGGTTCCCTGTGCTTGGATTTGGCTTGTTGAGACTATGCTGCAGCTTGAACCCTACTTTCTTGGGTAAATGCTATGCTCAAAGGCCTTACCTCCTGGGACTGAAACTCTAGCCTCTGAGGGCAACTCCTGGAGCATGGCATCTGTTGGGAGTCCAACAGCACCTTCAGGATGCCAGTTAGCGTCTACAGAACTCACAGCATGATCAAAAGGCCCAGGAACCGTAACTAGGATTTCAGCAACCTCCTGGCTGACCCTGTGGGGAAGGCCACAGCAGGCTCTATTAAACAGAACGGGAAGGTTCCTCAAAGAACATCCTGCTTCCCCTCCAGCTCAAGAAGAGACTTTAGCAGCTGCTTTACCTTTAAAGTTGTCAAAAGAGAGAAATCAAAAGCTGAATCAGACATGCGTAGGAGGAGCAGCTGGAAGTGAATCACTGGAAGGTGACAAGAAAGCTGGAAGGATGTGGCTGTCATACCAGTTTACTTTACTCTACACAAAAATCCCTTTATTGAAAAAGGGAAAGAAAGAAAAGGAAGCACAACTCTAGTAGAAACACACATGCACGATCACACACACATTCCTGCCGCCTCAATCGCTGCTTTTGCAAAATGCTTCTTTGGTGACTAAGGGGACTCTTTGGGCTTCAAAGAGTCACATCTTTTAAGAATGCTAGAAGATCAAGCACCTCCTCAAACCCTTTGACTGCAAAGGGCATCTACCGCAGCAGCAGACTGTGGCGTTGCCAGTGCCGTTACTATGAAAGATCTTTTATGGCTGCAGAAGTATGACAATGCGACATATATTGTTGCCTCCACAACGTTTTGAAAGTAATAAGGTAAATTGATCTCATGGGCTTAGATGGAGGGAGAGGAAGGAAATCCAAGCAACTTCCACCTAAAAAACATTGTCAGTTTCACTCCCAAATGTATATAGGAACTTTCTCATTATAGACATCAAAGAAAACACCCAAACTGTAGTCCATGAGCTTTATTCAGGTTGTCCACAGCACAACTGTATTTTATTGTACTGTATTTTATTGTACAGTACAATATTTCAGTTATATGGAATGCAAAATGTAATACAATCAAATACAATAAAAAGTAAAAAAAAATACAATTAAAAATCAAACAGCCTCTTTGCAATTGCTGCAACAGGCAGAAACATTATTGTCCCCAAAGACCTTCGGTAATTTCAAGTGCTCCATGTGGGAAAAGGTCTGGTGACCACAGGACAAGCTCTTTGGAGAAACCTCCTGTTCACGTCCAGGCCAACCCAAAGAAGA